GTTGCTGGGCATGCATGCTGGGAAATGAAATCCAGGTCCTCTGCAAGAACAGCAATATTTCTTGACAACGGAGCTTCAGACCTCCACCCTGCCTCCACTTCCTCCTGCTCTTCCTCCTCCTCCTTTTTTTGCCCAACTTTTTGAGTCAGACATTTATATCAATTGGTTTTCATCAAAACAGGTAACTTTCAAGCTGGCAGTGGTTGCCTGTCATGCCAAAACAGACAAGACTGAGTAGGGTTCATTGTTGGAAATTTGTTTCTTTTTTTAAAACAGTTTTTTATTTATTATGTACACAGTGTACATGTCTGTCTGCATGCCAGAAGAGGGCACCAGATCTCATTATAAATGGCTGTTAGCCACCATGTGGTTGCTTGGGATTGAATCTGGGTCTTCTGAAAGAGCAGCCAGTGCTCTTAACCTCTGAGCCATGTCTCCAGCCCCATGGAAAATTGTTTCTTTTGCTTGGCTGAAGGCTCTAAGATGGGAACAAAGAAAGCTACCCATGCAATTTGTATGCTGGCTGATGACAGGAGGAAATATGTCCTGCACTTTTCTCATTCTTGGTGCAGCTCAATGCGCCTTTAAGGCAAGATCCCATGGAAACGGGAAAAATGCAATTTCTTGACTGGTAAGCTACACATCCAACAAACCACAGTAACACCATTACAAAAGGTACATTTTCCCTACAATTATCAGAGATAGGACAAAGATTTCCAAATGAGCTGTTATTTTAAAAACGGTGATGGTAAACAAAGGAAGAGAATAATAGGAATAATGCCAAAGGGACAGAACAGGTATGTAAGCTTCTTAAGAGACATTATCATGGTATATGTTGGTCAATGCCTCCACATTTACATTGAGGCCACTGAAAGGAATAGTCCAAGGAACCACTAGCCTATGTGGGGCAAACAAGGATGAAGGTCAAGTAAAGAATCTAAAGGCACCAACTCTCCTGGCACAGCTAGGCAAAAGGGAGGTGAGAGCATTACCCAGAGCAATAAGGAACCTTTCAACAGTTCAGCAATGGACCAGCCATAATCAGCCTCAGGAGGGCATGGCAATGGGCATCTGCAAGGAGCATAAAGAGGTTCTTTGCAGAACTGATGCTATGCCGGTTCTCCTGAAACAAAAAGCATAAAGAGGCTACTGTGAATCTCAGAAGACTCAAGTGTTAAAGTGGGTGATCTAAGGAATTCAGTTGGAATGTTTGGGGGGGATGTTTGTTTGCTTGTTTTCTTTCAGATTGTTTGTTTGCTATATTGAGACAGGGAATCTCTGTGTAGCCCTGGCTGTCCTGGATCTCACTCTGTAGATCATGCTGGCCTCAAACTCAGAGATCCACATGCCTCTGCCTCCTGAGTGCTGGGATTAAATGCGTGTACCACCACATCTGGCTTCAGTGTGAATATTTTATATGTGCACTAAGCCTTCCTTGCCACCCAGTCTCCTGGGATTTCTGTCATGTGGTCTAAAGTCTTGCTCACGGCCATAGAACAAAAACATCCCTGTCTGATTTCTACAGTACCTCTTTGCTTGCATTGTCTGTGATCTAACTGGACAAAGCAGAGACAATAGAAGACACAGTGGTTGCTGCATTTCCCACTGCTCTTTAGATGTCCTTTTACACATTAGGTTGCTTTTAGACCTACTCTACCCCACTTACTGTCTTCTGTTAAAATGTCTGTCCTTTACTGCTGCCATCCCACACCAATTACTTTTAATCAATTATGTTTAAAATGCCAAGTAATGCTTGTCCTTCTGCGACAGATCACAGGGACCCGCCCCTCACTCTAGCCCTGGGATATTAAGCCCCATTTATCATTGTTAAATCATTCTCAGTGCTGTTAAAAGCTGGAACTGTTAGTGCTATCTGGAGCTCCCCTTGACTCTACTGTAAACCTCCTTTGAATGTTCTCTGTGTGTGACTCAGACTCTCACACCGGACTTTGTCACAGGCTGTCTGTCTGCTTGGGCCTGTCAGCCTTAAGCGGCTCTGATTTGGAAGCCTACTAAAATGCCCTGGTTGTATCCTGGTGGCGTGGAACAGCGCACAGATGCCTTGAGCACACTGCAGTGCAAAGACATGTGCATACCATCTCCAGCACCAGAAGGTGCTCTACCTGCCAGGGTGTTCTCAAATAGCTTGAAGAGGTTTTTGTATGGGTTTGCATTTTGGCATCACAGCCCTGGGTATACACTTCAGAAGGCTCTGCAGACATTTCACCCAGGCCAGAGGGCAACACTTGCCCTGGTGGCCCAGTGGGATGGCTGCCATGGGTGCAGTTCACAACACTCCATCAGCATGAAGGGTTGTGAAGTTACTGATGCAAAGACATTTGCCACACCCCCATTCTTGCTGTATGAGCTGGCAGCATGATTCACTTTCTGAGTCAGCTTGCCCTCTGCTGCTGTAATGTTAGGTACATTAGAAGAACTCCCTTGTGGTCTTTTCTGCCAATTTGGGCTCTGGGGTTTTGTTTTTCATGACCCCCTGGGCTAAGCTGGTAGCTTGAAGAGGAGATGGCAGCTGAGACAGCAGACTCCTAGAAGCAGCATCTGCTGTCCCTGCAGAGGCAGCAGCCCTTGTGGTAGCAGCAGTGGCAGCAAGGGGGCAGTGGAAGAGTTCTTGGGACAGACAGGCTGGGGCAGAAAAGATGGGGAGCAGAAGGAGAGGATGCAACAAGGGACAACAGAGAGACCGAGGAGCCAGAGCACTGATGCTAAAGAAAGACAGCAGGCTGTGAGGAGCCAGAGATGGAAAGGGGTGGGATCCACCTCCCTGGAAGTGTTCCAGGAGTCTGGAAGGGCCAGAGGTCTTGAGAGTCTAGGTTTTGGACCTGTGACAATAGCCCCTCTTAGGGGCAAGGTGTCCCAACACTGTGAACCCTAGAGCCGGGATGTTAACCTCAAGGAACTGAGCATCCTAAGGAAGAAATGTAAGACTTGGGATGTGGAGTGCTCCCTAGCTCTGCTCCTCTCTGCTGCTGCTGAAAATCAGGGATTACAATGGCTGGATTTTCCTACTGACACTGGGGGTGAAATCCTTGAGGAATAATCCTCCAACCAAAGTACTGGCAGCCAAAAGTCTCTAAATTGTTTCACCTTAAAGAGAATTTAGTTCTCTTACTTTGCATAATGGAAATAATATTAAACTTCTCTCTAACTTTTCTTTGCATCCATACATTACTTCATCTCTCAACAGTCATATGAAAGCCTCCTTTTGCAGTAGACAGCAATTAACACCAAAAACTTCAATGGTCAACTTGAAAGAATAAGAGACTTGGGATGCTCTCCCCAAATGGGACATCTATGAATCTGTCCCTTCCAAGTCTCAAGGACCGTCAGAGAAGAAGGGAAAGAAAGATTGTAAAAGTCAGAGGTGGATGTTTTCAGGGAAAATTCATTTGCTCAACATGACAGAACTGTGGCTCACACGAATGTAAAGGCAGATGTGACCACGTGCACAACACATTCACAGGATCAAGCCGGGAAAAAATCTCAGCTTGGATTAGGACGCAGTTCCTGAGTTTACACCCCTAGCTGAGGAGCTATTAGCAGTAGACGATTATTGGGGAGGAATCCAGTTTTGTTAGGGATTTGGTTCCTGAGAGGAGACCCCTGCTCCAGTAGAAGTTCTCAAACCCGTGCACATACACAGGCACCATTCCATGGTCTCAGGAGGATGCTCCAAAGTACATGAAGCTGGGAGGGGAAGGTGGCAGGAGGGACAGAAGACAAATTATATGGTAGATCTGATCAGAGAAAATTATGTGCATGAATGAAATTATTGAATGATAAAAGTGGTTAAAGGCCCTTGAGACCAAGTCTGATAGTCTGTTTCAGATCAGATTGCATGTGAAATTAGGAAAGGACTACCTACAACAAGTTGTCTCCCAACTACCACATACAGACCATAACATGTATCTGCATACAGACACACACAGAGATATAAACATATAAACGTAACTTTAAATTTTTTAACTATATAGAATACTTTAATTTATGAACATATCTTATGATTGTGGACATGATCCCTGCACATGAATGCGTATGATTGAAGAATTCAACAGATTGCACAAGTCTTTCATTTTCCACATGCAGCTAAATCTATGTAAAATGAGTGTGCTTTGTACAAATACCTCAGGAAAGACACACACAGGCTACATTATTTTGTTTTACAAAGTAAAAATATATACAAATCTCCTGAATAATTTTATGCATATAGCATCTGTATCATGATGATGTCATTTGATTTAGACATGCAATATCTCATTATTTTTCACCATATGAAATATTTTTGTTAAAGAAATTTTTACATTAAATCACAAGTGCAACAAGCGTGGTTGTTTTTACAATTTAGTTAATTGTCCACTTTAATTTCATTCAATATAAAGAGATAAGTTAGGAAAAATATGCAAATAACCAGCTATGGATTCAGCCAGAAATGTGTGTAAACACTTCTTTGTCTAGGTATAACTTCTGCTTTATATTCTGGTTAAGTATTTTTTTTTTATTTTTTGGAGACAGGGTTTCTCTGGGTAATTTTGGTGCCTGTCCTGGACTTGCTTGTAGAGCAGGTTGGCCTGGAACTCACAGAGAACCACCTGGCTCTGTTCCCAAATCCTAGGATCAAAGGCATGTGTCACAACCACTCGGCTTCAGGTTAATTTTTTTAAAAAAATGTTTAATTGAAAAGTATTTAAACTAAGTGGGATACCTGTCCATGAAGTATTCTTGCAGACACTAAAGCAAGATTAAAGACTTGGGGAAAATAAGTGAACTCAGACAAATGTGTGACAAAACAAACATATAGGAGTTACCTTTAATGAAATAGCTGATGTTAGAATGTTACTATAATAACTTATGAGGAATATTCAAGAATAATACTGTCAAAGAACTAATTATATGTGGAAAGAGGGCATGGGAGGAAGATGTAAGGGAATGAAATATTAAAACACTTCTAGACTCAGTTTCAGGGAAGTAATCAGCCAGTGTCATGATGACAGTGAAGTAGCTACAGTGACATAATAGTTGTCGCTATAGCAACAGGAATAATCTGACAGTACACAGGAAGTGTCTGTTCCTAGCCACTGGCTGAAGACACATAAGAGCAAAGAGGCAAGAGAAGCCGCACCTACATTGAGAGCTGCCCTATTGGCAGAGCTGAAAATCATACACCCTGGAACGGTTATTTCAGTGGACAATGGGGCTGGTCAGGTAGAGTTTTAACATTTGATCATAAAATCTTTATGTTTTTGGTCCCAAGCAGTGGTTCACATTAAGATTCTGATTGGGAACTTGATCTTGGGCTTTGGGTATACATAGAATTCCTGTTTGACATGTTTCCTCCACTGCCTAGTGCCATCTGCCTGCAGAATCTGAATCCATCAGGGAAGCTCTGACTGGTGGATCCCCAGACAAGGCTGCGGATTTGGGTATTAGCACAGGTTTGAAAGTTAAGCACCTGAAAGATCAGTTGCTGAATGATGACAGATGTTCCTCTCCCTTTAAAACTCTTTTCAGGAAAAGGAGAAGAGATGACAAAGAGGAAGACACCCACCTTCCCGGTCATTCGAAGAGGAATAAGAAGGACCAGGCCTTCCAGGACCCTCGGGCTATAGAGGTAGGAACTATGGCCACCCAAGCTTCTCCACTTGACTCATTGCCTGCTCTGTGGTGTTCATTTCCATCTCCACGAGGCAAGAGAACCCTCCCAGATGCCCTCGGGAAAGTCTTCTCCTTGTCTGCAATGGCCTTGAGGCAGAGCAGGATTTTAAGTATTGACATAAGCATGATTTTACTGTGCTTCAGAACAGAGACAGGGCTGACAGAGAGGCTTTCCCAAGCACAACCAGGAGGAAAGGGGTTCCAGAAATTCCTCCACCTTGCAAATGGGGAGGGAGAATCGAACCCCTTCTACGATTAGGATAGAAATAAACTGCAAGAACAGAGAGGCATACTACTGGCTACAGTGCTCTTCTTGCTTTCTCCCTGAAAAACTAAGAGCCAAGTTGGGGTTGTGTGAAGGGATTTGGGAAAGCTTTAGGGATGCTTGTGCTGAAGAGCTGGCATTTCAACTTCAACAGACTTCACTTTAACAACCAGTAAGTGGTAATGCACCATGGTTTGAATGGAAGCATAACTTAGTGAGGAGGGAACATTGTAAAGGGTTTCTGGACAAGTCTCATCAGGTAATGAGTAAGTATGGCTCAATTTTTCCTTTCCCGAACAAGAGATAAAAGGCTTATCAACATGTGCCTTCCTCTGGGACACAAACACAGGTAGGTTTTGGATAAAATGTACCCAGACCTACCCAAGCCAAGCAAGGATTTTTCTTGACCCACTGAGTTTTCTGTTGCATATGGTCACCTAAATATGAATACTGGCCTATGTTTACAATGTTAGCACCCTAGACCTCCATGTAAATCTGCTCCCTGGAACAAAGGTGTGAGATATGGCAGTGCAAACATGAGACCCAAAGCTTTGGTACATGTCTGTCTTCCTGATAAAGAACAAGGGCTTCACAGTGTTTTCCTGATAGCTGAGTAAAAGAAGAAATGGACAGTGTGTGGTGAGCTGTGGGTCACTAGTACAGATCCCAGACCTCTACTCTGCTATTGATCACATGGGAACTAATGCTCAGGTTCCAAGGAAACAGCAGTAAGACAAATGGGAAAAAATACATTAAGGGCCTCACACCTATTCCGGTTAGACATCTGTGCATCCTTGATTTTCCCCAACTGTTGGGACTACAGCTCTCTGTGACACCACTGATTTAGGCTGGGTGAGTTAGGCTGTCTGCTGGAAAGTTTGGTAGCCTCTTACATTTCTTTCTGGTGTTAGCAGTTTGTGGTCCACGCTGGTTAGTTTAACTGCCAGCCTCACAGGACATGGAACCCCCTGAGAGGAGGATCTCTTTTTAATACTCTTCTGTATTCTTTGAAATGTCATGCATAGACATGCTATTTCTTGATCATCTTCACCTGCAGTCTCTCCCTGCAGCTCTACCCTGGACTCCCCCAACCACTATCGGTCTAAATGTTAGAGCCTCCTTTTCACCGTGTATCCATGTACCTGTTTAACCCACTCTGTCCAGCTAGTGCTTCTGAAGTCCACAGAGCCTAGGGGTCATCCACTGAGTCCCAGGTAACTGACCAGGGGCCATCTACCCAGAGAGAAGTAGATGCTTCCTTCTCCAGCAGCCATCAGTGGCCAAAGCTCCTTAGCTAGAGGTCCAGCCACAACAGCACCTCCCAGGGGATTAACCTGGCTTCATTATGTTCAGGTAACCACAACTACCATGGGTTCCCGTGTGCAAGAGCCATACCATAACCAGGGGACAGTGTTTCACTGCACTCCTCCCTGTAATCTGGCTCTTACATTCCTTCTGCCTCCTCATCTACAATATTCCCTGAGCCCAAGGGCAGGGGCAGGTGGTGTAGATGTCCCCTCTGTGGCTGAGCACTCACAGTTGCTTAGTGTCAGCACTTTGAACAGTTATGTGTTTCTACATTGACCACTACTCATTGCAACTAGAGCTTCTGAAACCAATGTTGAGAGCAGTGCAGACCTATGCATGCAAACATAAATATTCAGAAGGCAGTTTGACAACATAGCCTTTAGCAGAACAACAGTAAGTCCACCCCCAGCACTTTGGAGGAACCATGGACCCACTAATAATAGGTTTTGACTATGTTTACAGTGCCAGGCATACACTCATTCATGTGGAGCAGGCCTCAGATCCAATCAGGAGAAGAATTGGTTAGCCCCAGGCACAGAACTGCAACTACTCCACCAGTGGGTTAATCATGCCTGGTGGGCCAGTATTATACCGTGCAGGGTCCAGCAATGGGTAAGATCACTTATGTCTTTTCCCTCACGACAGCCAGCATTTATATATACCTTCTCGGTACTATGGACATTGGCCAGCTGGGAGAGTTTCTTGGTGAGTTCAAGACTGATTTCCCTGTGTCCTGCAACGGAAGTGTATAGTGTCTAGGTTACAGGGTCCTACCATCTTGTTCTGTTGGGCAACCAAGAGCAATGGCAATAGCCTTCATTCTTTGGTCACCTCTGAGGCTGGCCAGACTATAGGGAGGTAATTTATGTGCCGTGCTGAGATTTTACTTAATGACTTACAGCTTCTGGGAATACCATTGTTCACCCACATGCAGTATCCTTGTTCAGAATAGCGTGTATGGGGGCTGAAGAGATGGCTCAGCCATTAGGAGTATCTTCTGCTCTACCAGGAGACCTGGGTTCAATTCCCAGATCCACATGGCATACTTGTCTGTAACTCAAGTTCCAGGGGATCTGACACCTTTACAGACATACACGTAGGCAAAACATCAATGCACATAGGATAAACGAATCATTAAATAAATTGCATTGTATGACCTTGTATACTGTAGAGTACATTTTCATAAAGCTTGTTCATACATCCTTAGTTTGCCTTAGCATGTCCACATCCTGCCTTCTATTCTCCATTCCTTTTCCCCTATTCTCACTTAAACTTTAACCCCCAGTATTCCCATCACATTTTTTCATATCACATGCCTTTCACCACATTATCTTGTTAAATATTTTTACCTGGGTTCTAAGGCCATGGGTTCTCATGTAGCTTCTCTCTGCACACTTCATATTGGTTAGCCCTTACCCCAACTCCTGCTTTTCCAATTCCCATCACTCCAGAAACTGCAAGAAACCTTCAGACACCAGGATTTCTGCTCTCTATGTCCATTTTACAAGTATTCTGCTATTTCCCATCTCTTCAAGCAGACGTCCCCCAACCCAATGGCCTGTTTCTACTTTCTTGGGTTCCAAATGGACTCCAGGATAAGCACACTGTTTGGGTGGGAGCTCTACCTCAAACCCTGGCACCCTGGCATCCCTGTACCCAAAGAGTCTGGAATGTTCTGGTGGAAGATCCACCTCAACTCCCTTCCCCCATCTCTTTCCCCAAACCAGCCGCTTCAAAGTCAGCCAAACACAGCTTCTCCACCAGAGAGGCTCAAGACCATTCCCACAGGGTATGTAAGCTGCATCCAGGAAAACAGACAGGTGGTTTTTCCAATCTCTCAGCCCCATCTCCTCTCTGAGGGGCCAGGAATCACCTGGGAACGTTTTATTCATTAAACCTGGGCTTTTCCAATTCGGTCTGATTTGGTTTGCTGTGACAGCAGAGAGGCCTTCAGGGTGCAACAGATTTATCACACACAACACAAAATAATCAAAGGTAGGCCCCACATAAGAGTCAAAAAATGTGGTGTTTGTCCTTTTGGTGATTTTGTGACCTTACTCAGTGTAATTTTCCTGTTCAGTTCAGTGCCTTTCAAATAGTCTTTCTGAGGAATTATTTCAATCAGTTTGGGGTACGTGTGTGGAGTATGTCTTGATTTTTGCTGAATGTAGAAAGAGCCAACCCATTGTAGGTGGTGCCACTCCCTGGGCAAGGCATCCAGAATGTATAGGAGAAAAGGAAAGCCAGCTTTAAGCAAAGGATCAAGCAAGCAAGGATCCCTGTGCTTTCTATCTCTGCTCTTGACTGGAGGTGAGATGCTGCTCTTAAACTCCTGCTTTGACTTCCCTGAAGTAAGGGATGAAAACCTGGATCTGTAAGCCAAAGAAAAACTTTCAACCCTGAGTTGCTTTGAATCATTGTGTTTTATCACCACAACAGAAATGAACTGAGTAGGTGGCCATTTCCATCACTCTTGATTTCTTTGTATGATCTGGAAGACAGAGCAATTGAGGGCTCTGAGTCTCTTACTGAGCCAAAGAAATGTCATTAGTTGTGTTGTCAAAGCCTAAGCAAAGCGGGTACCCCTGAAATGACCTTCTTGGGAGATACATTCCTTGGATGGGTGTGCATGGGGTGGGGGAGCTTGGCCATTGATGGCCTAATAGCTTGTAGACACTTTAAGGACCCTTGTCCGTGGAGCATGTCCAAGTACGGCAAGCACTCTCATGTGCACCTTCACGTTAGAAGCTGAGTTGTGGATTGAAGATAATCATGTCCACGTGTTTTGTGCAGGTGAGGCTTTCCTAGTCATCTTTGGTTTGCTTTGTTGAAATCCATTCCCTTCTTTAGCACAGATGAGGCGACATAACTTTTATCACAGGTTGAATTTTTCAGTTGAAATACAGCTTAGAACTCAAGGTCTAGTCCAGTTTTACCCTCTGGTCTTCAAAGAGACTGGATTAGACTACCTGCACACAGAACTTCACACATGAATGTCCTTCATTCCCTTGCTCATTAACAAAGTAGTAGTGATTCAACAGTCTTCTGAGTCAAGAGAGTGTGCATCATTCTGGAGAGATCAGAGAGGGTGGGCCGCCAGTGCAAATGTGAGGAGCCTTTGGGAGTTCTTAGTCTAGAGACTGCAGTGGGCATGGTTGGGCTTGTCAGTTTCAGTCAGTAAAAAGCAGCATGTAATTCCGGGGGTGCAGTGGGTTTAAGGGTGAATTTTGTTACATTATTGGGGTTCAGAAACAAATGCTTCTCAGGTATATAGGAATGGAATTGGACGGAAAGCTGGGGTTGAAGGTAGAAAAATCTTGGATCCACTTGCTTTTCACTTTAGGAAGCATTATCCAGTTCTATATCACGAATACACGTGAATT